CCACTCCTCATATGACTTGTGTTCCAGACCCCTCACCAGCTTGGTTGCTCTCCTCTGGACATGTTCCAGCAACGCAACATCTTTCTTCTAGTGAGGGGCCCAAAACTGAACACAGTAGTCAAGGTGCGGCCTCACCAGCACCAAGTACAGGGGCACGATCACTTCCCTACTCCTACTGGTCACGCTATTTCTGATACAGGCCAGGATGCCCTTGGCCTTCTTGGCCACCTGGGCACACTGCTGGCTCATATTCAGCTGCCTGTCAACCAGTACCCCCAGGTCTTTTTCCACCAGGCAGCTTTCCAGCCACTCTTCCCCAAGCCTGTAGCGTTCCGTGGGGTTGTTGTGACCAAAGTGCAGGACCCGGCACTTGGCCTTGTTGAACCTCATACACTTGGCCTCAGCCCATCGATCCAGCCTGTCCAGGTCCCTCCGCAGAGCCCTCCTCCCCTCGAGCAGATCAACACTCCCACCCAGTTTGGTGTCATCTGCAAACTCACTGAGGGCACACTCAATCCCCTCATCCAGGTCATTGATAAAGATATTAAACAAGACCGACCCTAGAACTGAGACCTGGAGGACACCGCTTGTGCCCGGCTGCCAACTGGATTTAACTCCATTCACCACAGGTCTCTGGGCTTGGCCATCCAGCCAGTTTTTCACCCAGCAAAGAGTGCGCCTGGCTAAGCCATGATAATATAGCAAAGCACCACTGTCGCAGTGACAGGACCCATCCCAACTCCAGCTCTCCTCCTCCTCCTCTTCCTCCCAGTGAAGCAGCTCCAGGAGGGCACCAGGATGCTCCACACCTTCACCCACAGGGTCTGCAGTGCCGATGGTTTTGGGGCTCCTGCTTTGCCCCGCACTGAGCCGTAAGCATCAATCCCTTCAAGGAGGCTCTGTAAAGTCTTCTTCAGAAAACACAGCTGGTAAAAAGCTGAAAACTCCCAGGTTTGTAGGACAGAACCCACCAGAGCTGCTGACTGGCGAAGGAAACAGAGTAAGACTCAGAGACCGAGCATTCCGTGCGGTATCCCTAATCCCTGGATGCACCGGCGGAATGGTTTGTGACCGGAGATGTATTTACTTTGATTTCACCACAGAAAACACGGAAGAACGCCGATAAAATGTCACCGACGGAGAGATGAGGCCTGGATATTGTTTCATATGTATGTGTGTGTATAGATATAATACTTACATTCTATATATATGTCATATATATGATATAGATTATATATTTTAAAAATACTTCTATAAAAATAAATATTATTGAATATATACTATTCTATATATTCTATATATACAATCTGTGGATAATATCTATCTATATGGAGATATATCTATATGGAGATATAGCCATACATAGATATACATACTATTGAATAGATACTGAATACCTATATTGAAATATATTACCTACAGAGTATATACAATAATATTTTTATATATAAAAAGCTATACATTATTACCTCTCTATCAATTATCTCTAAATATTATTGACTATATATACTAAATACATATCTTGAATTATATATTCAATAAATTAAATAAAGTAAATAAATTCAACTGTGGATAATATCTATCTATATGGAGATATATCTATATGGAGATATATCTATATGGAGATATAGCCATACATAGATATACATACTATTGAATAGATACTGAATACCTATATTGAAATATATTACCTACAGAGTATATACAATAATATTTTTATATATAAAAAGCTATACATTATTACCTCTCTATCAATTATCTCTAAATATTATTGACTATATATACTAAATACATATCTTGAATTATATATTCAATAAATTAAATAAAGTAAATAAATTCAATATATTAAATAAATATATTCAATAATATCTAGAGATGACTGATAGAGAGACGAGGCCCGGAGAGTATTGTTATTTGCAGTATTTTATGTTATGCAGATATTATTGAATATATATATATATATGGAGAATATATTGAACAATACATATCCAGTAATATCTAGAGATGACAGCTTCAGATCAAAGCCTTTCTGCCTCCTTTGCATTTAAGAGACACCCGATTACATATATGAACACACACATATATATGAATAATATAAAAAAATAGTGATATAGAGATATCTATAGATATATAATCTAATAATACATAATAGCAATATATAGATATATCTAGAGACTATAGA